TGCGCATTCAGCCGAGGAGGAGGAGAGCTCCCCACCAAGTAGCACCTAGGACAATAGGCCACTTACTCTTTAGGTAAATCATATGACAGTGTTGAACAATATTGATATCTGGGGTGTTCCTCTTGAAAATCATTGTAGAAAGTGCTGTGTGCCTGACATTAGCCGAAATGCCTTTTTGTTTTTATGATAATGTGTTACTCATGTACTACAAAAATAAAGAATGTCAAAATATATAAGCATTTTGACTTTGGAAGGTTAAAAGACTAAGGCAGTTGACAATCTAACCTGTGACCTTGTATTCGAGCAGATAGAGATATTGCAGCTAGAGCATTAATCACATTGCTATCTGTTTGTTTTGGGTTTTTTTTATTGGAATATATAACACGATAATGATATATGTTGCTATACAAATAATCAACTTCAGAATTAAAACAATAATAATACTGAAATCGAATAATAAAATGGCATAAAATGTCTTGTAAAATTCTCCATTATTACATAAAATGATAGGAGAAGAAAGAGTGCAGCCAAATATTTTTGGGGAGAGGGGTGTCAGGAAAAGAAATTGCTACAGAATACATCTTCCAAACAGCCGTTACACCATAAAGATGTTTATTAATCTTGTTAATACTGACATTACATCCCTCAGGCAGAGAGAGAACAAAAATAGGATTAAAAGTAACATCTGAACTTTTCTAGGAAAGAGAGAGATTATGAGCGTTATGAGAAATATCACGATTTGCATTAACTGAGAATATAAAAGTAGTATATTCGTGATTATCAATAATACAAACTATATTACTTTTCTGCATATATGTGTTTTTTAGAACTCTCTTTACGTATTGCCACTTCTGACACAAGACTAACTTGCAAATTGTCATCTATACTATTAAATCAACGTTTAGAAACTGTCACCTGCAGATGACCTCAGTGAGACACAAACATCCTTTTATTTTTCTGTTGCTCTGACGGCAGAGAAGGAGCATCGAATTAGTCTAATCTCAACTTTCAGACATTTAATAAGTGGGGCATTGAGTTAGGCAGATCACATCTTTCCAACTAACCAGTTAATCTATAATTACAAGGAAATATCTTTATATTGAACAGAATGTATTTTTAAGAACAGGAATATTCTGAGTGTTTTTGAGTTTTGCTAACAAACAAACATGGTTTCCAAATTTACTAAGGTGTGTTAAGGCCCATCATTCTATGATACTCTATGTGGTACAGCTGAAGACACAAGGTTTCACATCAATACCTTACCAAAATGGAAGAAAATATGAAAAAAGGCATTGCTATTAGGAGTACTTTCTGAATGAAATGTTGATGCTAGGTATTCTTGAGAAACAGTCTAGTTTAATAATCAGTACACATAGAAAACACAGCAGATCAGACATGTCAACCCACTGTAGTTCATGGACTTGTGGTAGAACCTCAAATTATTGAGTAGTGTTCCTCAGCTGACCATAATTTATAGCTGAAGTTGTAAGTTGGTCCTTCAGCAACAATATTTAAAGCTCTTTCTGTTACCTATTACCGTGTCACAGGTCTGGAATTTATTTTGTGTAACCAGTCTTATAGACAGAAAACACAATGGTATGCAAAGGAGGTAGGGTATAGTGGGTTAAAGGAACACTATAGGCATCCAGCCCCTTTGTGTGTCTCTTCACCCCACTCCCTTTGCATGTCTATTTTCCTCTTCCCCAGCCTATCTGAATGTCTCTGTGTCCCCTTACCCAGCGCCAATGTGACAGTGTGTGTCATTGTCGCCTTCCACAGCCCATCTGAGTGTATGTGTGCCCCTTCCCCAGCCCCTCTGTTTGTGTCACTCTTCTTCTCCCAGTGGTTGGTAATATTACTTTTATAGTGTTCATTTACTCACTATTTGTTATTGTTGTTGCTCTGATTTGGGAAAGAGTGATAAACAGACAACGTAATCATAGGATGTTGGAAAGAGTCTATAGCCTAGTGCAGTGATGGCGAACCTATGGCACGCCGGGCCCTCTCTGTTGGCACGCGGCCATAGGTCGCTGGGAGAGGGGGCCGCTGGCTGTCTGCAGAGTAGGCACCTGCCTGCCCGAAACGGCAGGCGCCTACTCTGCTTCCATGTCAGGAGGGCTCTAGGAAGCAGCTGTCCTGTGTGGAGCGTTGCCGCGCGTTACCATGGCAACGCTCCACACAGCATCGCGCAGAAGGACAGGAGAGCTGCTTCCTAGCTGCCAGAAACATACTTACCACCGGACCACCAATGATGGCTGTGTCGTTCCCCCCCTCCCCCCTTCACCAAAGGTAAGAGGGAGGGGGCGGATACAGAATTAATAATAATGTTTTGGGTTTTTTTTTTTATTTTTTTTTTTACCCCTACCCCCAACACAGCACAGCACCCCTACCCTCCCACACACACAGCACCCCTACCCCGCACACACACACTGCACCCACACACACACACACACACTGCACCCCTCAGACAGACACACACAGCACTCCACACCCTTACACACAAACACATATACTGCACCCCTCAATGCAGTGTGTGTGTATTCAGCAGACTGTATGTGTATGTATTCAGCAGACTGTGTGTGTGTGTGTACTCAGCAGTGTGTCTATTCAGCAGTCTTTGTGGGTGTATTCAGCAGTCTTTGTGGGTGTATTCAGCAGTCTTTGTGGGTGTATTTAGCAGCCTGTGTGTGTATTTAGCAGTCTGTGTGTACTCAACAGTGTGTGTTCAGCAGTCTGTGTGTGTGTGTATTCAGCAGTGTATGTATTTAGCAGACTGTGTGTATGTACTCAGCAGTCTGTGTGTACTCAGCAGTCTGTCTGTATGTGTATTTAGCGGACCGTGTGTGTGTATTTCGCGGATGGTGTTTATGTATTTAGCAGCCTGTGTGTGAATGTGTTCAGCAGTCTGTGTGTATGTATTGCATTTGTTGGAGATACGAATAAAAATAAGCTGAATTTTATCTATTTATATAATTATTTAAAATTTGTATCATTAAACTCTCTGTTGTGTTCTTCTTTTAAAACAAAAGTTGTTAATTAGTTTGGACAACTGTACAAGTTGTTTTTTCTAAACTTAAACCTCAGTATTCCGGTTTAATTGCCGTGTTGGCACTTTGAGGGGAAAAAAAGTTGGCATGTATTGCGGTTTGGGCACTCAGGCTCAAAAAGGTTCGCCATCACTGACCTAGTGAGACAGAGTGCTGGAAAGCTGTATGAGACAGCAGGCATGGAAAGGGATCAGAAGGGGCTGACAGAAGGGAGGGTGGCCAAAACAATGATGATGGTGGGGGTTGGGTACAATTGTCATCCTCTACTGTTCATTTTCTATTTTGTATTAAAAAATATATAATACATTTTGAAATCCATTATGTCAGACTGCAAATCTTTCTGATGTGTGCAGTGAGTGCCTGTCTCATTTGCACACACATTGTTCTCTTGCTACACATGACAGTACCAATGCTACACCTTATTTATTCTGTTTTTTTAAGCTTCTTTACTAATTACTAAAAAGGTTCTAGTGACACTTTAAAAGCGAATTTTACCCGTACTCCCATTTACAGCAGAGCATGCTTTTTGCATATATTTCAGCAATGACAAAAGTACTTTACATTTGAGCTGAGGATACACTGCTTTTTCATTCTCACCGGATAAAGGAACTCATACAACATCATATATGCCATTTTCTTTTTAAAGCACAATTAATAATATTTATTAGGAAAACTGTAGAAAACTGATTAAACTTTTCGGGTTACTAATTGTTACAGTTTATGATATAAACTGTATGTGACAATATTAAACATTTAAAGGAATAAGTATTTTTAAATGAATATTTGGGTAGAAAGTAAATGATGTAGTCTGCAGTGGTATATTTTGCTATTGAGGACAGCGTTTGTCTAGACTGGAGTCTAAGGTAGATTTTATTTAAGGACACGGAGGCTCATATTATGCTATTCTCTTTCTTTTATTCCTCAGCAGCAAGAAAAATTTATTTTAGAGAAACAATCAACCATGTAAACATGCCCCAAAGGGCTAGTCCTACAATAATACAACCAATCAGCATGCCTTCAGCACTCTCAACTCCCCATGTGACCTTAAGCCACTCCTCTTTCTTGCTGCTGCCTTCCTCAGCTAAGTACATTTTATTTTCTCTCTGTATGCTGCCTGTGTGTTTATCATATTTATTCTTTTTGTTGTGGCAGTTACATTTTAATTTGTTTGTTTTTCTGTTTACTGTTGGGCTTCTGCCCTATCTCTACACTTTATTTTCCAGCTGGCTCTTGGTTTTTTCCCTCACCTAGAGCCAACCCCTCCCTCCCCTCCCCTCCCATCTCTGGCTCACTCAGGTGGATGATCACCTACTGAGTCAGGGCGGCTAGCAGCTCTCCGTGTGGAGGCTCTTGCCGCCCAGTCTGTTTTTCGTTGCCTCAGAGATATTCCTCTGGGGCCTCCCTCCCCCCGCCCCCCCTAGTGCGCATCGCGGTGGCCATCTTGCGATTGGCAGTTTTGCCGCGGTTTTTCGTTCCCGGGCTTTTTGGAGCCTGTGGGGGTGGGAGTGTGTGCTGATTGGACAGCACAGTTGCTGGGCAGCTCACCAGAGCCATTCCTGAGGGAACACTTGGTGAGCTTGCCTTTTTCATATTACTGTCTGTACTTTCTGGTGCCTTTGGTATTCTGTATCATTACTGCTGATACATTGCTAATACCCAGTTTTCCCTAATATCAGGGAAGTCACTCCAATAGTTTATTTGGGTTCCCCCACTCCGCCCCCTTTTTTTTTCTTGGTTTATTTATAAATAATATATACTTGTAACTAACCACAACCACTGTCAGAAGTGCTATTTAGTTATGCAATCTAGTAAGGATTTTGGCATGGCCTCCATCGATTCTCCCATTAGGGATAATATACCCCCTGCCCCCCAGGTTGTCCCCAGACCGGCTGGCTTAACTGTCACTGAGGTGACAGACCAGGAGCAGTTGAACTCGGAAGAGCTTCATTCTCTCCTGGATGCCACTATGACGAAATCCGTAACCCAAGCTGTTTACTCAGCCATGGGAGTTATGTCGGACACTCTGTCCCACTCTATTAGCCATGCCCTCTTGGCCGCCCAACAGGCCTCTACGCACATTGCTCCTAACCCTAAGGAACACATTACAGGCAAGGCCAGTGGGCGCAAAGCCACCAAAAAATCTCGTCACATGGACGAGGAAGCCTCCAAAACTTTACGGACAGACAGGGAACGTCCTGTCAAAGATAATGTGGTTGCACCACAACAAAGAGCCACCCACCGGGCAAAATCGGTGCGGAGTTGGAAAAGGGCAAAAGCCCAAGTGGAATCATCCGAGTCAGATTCGGAACAGGAGGAGGCATGGAGCGAGTCTGATGATGAGGACTCATTCAATTTGGGCACACTATTCCCTGACCACAGCGCTATATCTATGTCTGGGAATGAGGACGAGGACGGGGTGGAAGGCTTCACCCTCCTTGACCCACAGGGCGAACCTTTGTTTGACCCTGATAGTCTGCAACACCCAAGATCAACTGAATGGTTCCCGCTGGACCATGTGGCAAAATATATTGCCGCACGGATCAGGAAACCCCTTGATAAGGTGGCAAGAAGTAAGATGCGGGCAGAATGCCCACGCTCCCAGATTTAATATGTATCGCCCCTATAGTGGACCCTAAGATTGCCCAGTTCCTGGGAAAAACTGGGTGGAAGGCGAAGAAGGGTCTCGACTTTGCACTTCGCCATTGCCAGGATAAGATCCTGGATGTCCTCGGATCCAGTGCAAAGATTTTTGATATGGTTGAAACGGCACTGGCAGGTGGTGCTCCCATAGACCTGCTAGCTATCAGGGGCTGGATACAGCGAGCCATATGTCTTCTTGGAAATGCCAACGTGGCTCTAGCCACTGAGAGGCGAAAGGCTATATTGAGATCGAACCAAAGCTAGTTGCCTTGGCTATCACTGAGCCTGGGCCACAGGCCAAAGGCCTTCTTTTTGGGGATAGTTTTGTGAAGGAGCTGGGTACCTATTTGGGCACATTTACTGCTCTGGACAAGGCGCAAGCCAATATGAAAAAGGTATTCTCCCATAGAATTTTTGGCGGGGCCGTCTGCCCGGCCGTTCTTCCCGGGGCTCGTACCGGGTTTCTAGAGGCCCCTTCCAGTCACGTTACCAGAGTGAGGTACCCAAGTCCTCTCCATTCTTCCCAGTTCGAGGAAGACCCTGGCAGGCTCGTGGATCCATAAGCGTTTCCTATGGCCGACGCCCTTATGGTAAGTCCACTTCCTTCATCACTAACTTCAGTAACGTTGGTGGGGGGCAGGTTAGGCCACTTTATCGATGCCTGGCGAATGTTAACTTCCGATACTTGGGTCCTACAAACGGTAGTGGGTTATGCCATAGAATTTGTACAAACACCTGTCCAGATATCCCTCCCCAGACACATAGTCTCCTCCATCCACGACAGGGCATTAATCGCAGTGGAGATACAATCCCTGGCCGACAAAGGTGCAATCATAGAGACGCATCCAGGGGTTTCAGGTTTTCTAAGCAACCTGTTCGTGGTGCCCAAGAAAGGCGGGGGTGTCCGTCCGGTCATCAACTTACGTCCCCTAAACGCCTTTGTAGCGTACCACCATTTCAAAATGGAGGGCATCCACTCCCTCCGAGATCTGCTCCTCTTGGAGGATTGGATGGTCAAACTCGATCTGCAGGACGCATACCTCACCGTCCCAATGGCCGAAGATTGACAACATTTCCTCCAGTTCCAATGGGAGGAGACCACATGGCGTTTCAAATGCTTGCCCTTCGGCCTCTCCTCGGCCCCATGGTGCTTCACGAAGCTCATGCGGCCAGTAGTCGCTCTCCTACGCAGCAGAGGCGTATGTCTGATTATATACTTGGACGACATGCTTCTGATGGCACAAGACCCACTCTTACTCCAAGAACATCTGATTTGGACAAAGACATTACTCGGCAACCTTGGTTTCCTCATCAACTGGGGCAAGTCGGTGGTACAACCCTCCCAAGTCTTGGAGTTTCTGGGCTTCACCATCGATTCAGTGGAAGGGACACTCCTGTTACCATCGTCCAAAGTCAGGATCATCAAGAAAGAAATCCGCCGGACACTGGCTCGACCTGCACTAACGCTACGGCAACTGGCCAGGATCATCGGCCTTCTCTCTGCCTCCATCCAGGCCATTTTCCCGGGCCCACTTCACTACAGGGCCCTTCAACGCCTAAAGGCAAAATACCTTCGGTCAGGTCTCTCCTATTCAGACTCTGTACCTCTCGATTGTGCTGCCATAGAAGAACTCTCTTGGTGGCTGCAGCACATGGAAGCATGGAACGGAAGAGCAATCTTTGGGACGAGGCCGGACTTCGTCGTGGAATCGGACGCAAGTCTGCTGGGCTGGGGCGCACGTTGCGGTCCTATCTCCACCGGAGGGAAATGGTCCCCAGACGAACAGGAGTTACACATCAATTGCCTCGAGCTTTTGGCGGGGTCATTTGCAGTTCGGAGTCTCGTAGGTATCTCAACCAACTGTTCCATTCTTTTACGGATGGACAATGTGTCAGCGGTCCGCTACATCAATCATCTCGGGGGTACGAAGTCAGTGGTGTTAGCGGATCTAGCAAAAGACTTCTGGCACTTCTGCCTGGGTCGCAATATTTCGGTTCAGGCGGAACACATTCCCGGGATGTCCAATATGGTGGCGGATTGGAATTCCAGATACCTACGGGATGCAAGCAACTGGCGGCTGAAGCGGGCCATTTTCCTGCAACTCCAAACACTCTGGGGCCCACTAGGGATCGACCTCTTCGCTTCACGGTTGAACTCCCAACTACCGAGTTTCTTCAGTTGGAGACCGGATCCAGAGGCATTGGCTTCAGATGCCTTCCTCCAACAGTGGCCGGACACACGAGCGTACGCTTTTCCTCCTTTCTCATTGATTGCGAGGACGCTTCTACATCTCAGGCGCTACCGAACCTCCAGGATTCTCATCGCCCCATTCTGGACGGCTCAACCATGGTTCCCTACACTCATGGAGATGTCCATGGACTACCCAAGACTGATTCCAACCTCTCCGGACCTCTTGTTGGACCCCAACGGGGAACCGCACCCCCTACTATTACAGGGACGCCTCCAGCTACTGGCATGGCTCCTCTCCGGGGACTTGAATTCATCCCGGACGTTCCACAAACAACTATTGACCTTCTGGCGGGAGCTTGGGCTCCGGGAACAAGGAAATCCTACTTACATGCCTGGAATTCATGGAGTGGTTGGTGCATGGAACAACACATGGATCCCTTATCGGCACCTATAAGTCAAGTTTTGAGATTTCTCACTTCTCTGTTTGACCATGGCCTAGCCTATCGCACGATAAATGTGTACCGATCGGCTATTTCCGCAGGCCACCAAGGGTTGGATGGTGCCCCGGCAGGTAAACATCTCCTCGTATGCCGACTTCTGCGCGGCATTAGATTTGCACGCCCACCACAACCTAGATACTCTTCATCATGGGATGTTGACCTTGTCCTCCAGCTTCTAGCAGATTGGCCAAGGAACGAAGATCTTTCACTGAAACAACTCACAGCAAAATTGGTGATGCTGTTTTCTTTGATCTCCTGTAAGCGGGTGTCGGATGTGCGTGCGTTGGACTTCTCTGCACGTTCATTCACCCCCGAAGGTCTCGTTTAATATTTCCAGACGTACGAAGACGTCAATCACCTCAGTTTTCTACCCGGCCTTTCCACATAACTCTAAGCTATGCCCAGTAGCATGTCTCAAGGAATACGAGTCCAGGACTTCTTCGATTCGTGATCCTGCATATCCTGAGTTATTCCTAGCCCTTCGTCATCCGTATCACCCTGTTTCAACAGTCACCTTGTCTCGTTGGGTCAAGTGGGTTATGAAATTAGCAGGCATCGACACTTCTGTGTATGGAGCACACTCGGTCAGGGGAGCCATGGCGACTAAAGCATTCTCCAAAGGCTGCAGGTTGGAAGACCTACTCCGGGCGGCTGATTGGTCCCGCGAATCTACCTTCAAGGAGTTTTATTTTCGGCCAGTTTCTCATTTTTCAGAGGTGGTCGTGTCACAGCTTTGAACTAGCATAATATGAGCCTCCGTGTCCTTAAATAAAATTACCAGATTTTACTAATTTCATGACGTAAAGTCATGATTTTATTAAGGACACGGAGGCTAGTATTATCCCACCCGATGCAGGTAAGTGGTACCCTCCCATAGATAAGTGGTCAGTAAGTTGCTACGGGTTCAGATTACTACAACACACTGCATGTATTGAAAGGTTTTGGTTAGAGGATAATCTGGTTTTGGTGGCATATATTCTGATGTCTAATTCTGTTCAAAGGTCCAGAAACATATTTTACCAGTTTGTTTCTCTGTTCCTTTCAGCTTCATGATCCGGTTTGGCACCGTTGTGCATGGATTTCCTTCAGGACCTACGGGAAGATCACAGCTTCTGGAGAATACTGGATTTTTCACTGTGGCGGTCCTGGCATTTTGCTTTTTTCCTTCAAGTTGATATGTTACTATGGATTTTTTTTTTTTTTGACAACACCAAGAAAGAGGAGTGGCTTAAGGTCACATGGGGAGTTGAGAGTGCTGAAGGCATGCTGATTGGTTGTATTATTGTAGGACTAGCCCTTTGGGGCATGTTTACATGGTTGATTGTTTCTCTAAAATAATTTTTTCTTGCTGCTGAGGAATAAAAGAAAGAGAATAGCATAATACTCGCCTCCGTGTCCTTAATAAAATCATGACTTTACATCATGAAATTAGTAAAATCTGGTAATTCTCAGATGTAGCAGAATTTCACTTGCAATGAGTGTCATATGCTTAAAAATGTTTACAATGCTTTTTTGGAGTATTAATGCCAATCAGGATGATTGTGAACAGCATTTTCCAAACACTATGTATGCACACAGATATATAAAGTGTATATGTATGTGTATGTATGTATATACAGGGCCAGTACAAGGCTATTTTGCACCCTAGGCAAGATCAGCTACTTGCACCTCCCAAAATGAAAATTGCCAACTTTGCGTGTCTTTCTCCCCTTCCGCCCCCCAGCCCCTATGTGTGTCTTTCTCCCTCATCCTCTTTGTGTGTCTCTTTTTTTCCCCCATCCCCTCTGTATGTATCTTCCCCCAGCATCGTTGTGTGTCTCTTTCTCCCTTCAACCCCTTTGTGTGTCTCTTTCTCACCCAACCACTTTATGGGTCTCTTTCCCCCAGACCCTTTATGTGTTCCCAGCTCCTTTTCATGTCTCTTTTCCTCTTCCCCAGCCTATCTGAGTGTCTCTGTGTGTCCCCAGCATCTATGCGTGTTTCTCATTCTCTCTTCTGCCACTTTGTGTGTCTCTTTCTCGCCCAACCATTTTATCTGTCTTTCCCCCAGCCTCTTTGTGTGTCTCTCGCCCAGCCCTTTTGTGTGCCTCTCCCACAAGCCTATTTGCTTGTCTTGTTTCCTCTTCCCCAGCCTGAGTGTCTGTGTGTCCCCATCCCCAGCACCTATGTGTGTCTTTTTCTCCATCCTCCGCACCTCTGTGTGTCACTGTCCCCTTCTGCAGCTTATAAGAGTGTGTGTGTCCCTTCCCCAGCCACTCTGTGTCACTTTTCCTTTTCCCAGTCCCTCTGAGTGTCTGTGTCTCCTTTCCCAGCCCCTCTGTGTGTGTCACTGTGCCCTTTCTCAGCCCCTCTGAGTCCTTGTCCCCTTCCCAAAACCTCTGTGTGCCACTGTCCCCTCCCAAACCCCTCTGTGTATGTCATTGTCCCTTTCCACAGCCCCACTGTGTGTGTCACTGTCCCCTTCATCAGCAATTCTAAGTTTGTTATTTTGCTGTTTCCCAGCCCCTCCCTGTGTGTCACGGTCCACTTCCCAACCCTCTGTTTGTCATTGTCCCTTCCCTAGCCCCCCTGTGTGCGTCAATGTCCCTTTCCCCAGGCCCTTTTGTATGTCTTTCTCTCTTCCCTCCTTGCGTGTCTTCTCACCTCCACTCTGTATTGTGACCAAGCAGACTGTGGGTAAAGGTATCCTCCCAGCAAGAGCTTCCTGTCAAACCAGATAGAGGATACAGAAGATCCTCTACCCGTGGTCCGTGCGGCAATGCTACAAGAAGTGACTGGCAGGAGGTTGAGTGCTGTGCTGTTCACTCTCCTTCAGCCGGTCACCTGGCTTTTTGACATTGTCATCCCCCCCGTGCCATTGCACCGTAGGGGGCTGCCTAAGGGAAGTGCTGGCAATGTGTATATAGTGTATCCAGAATATAGTGGCCAGGTCTTCTGCCACAATCAATCATATTGTATACCCCACAATTAATGTTATATTCCCCCCAGACAAGAGTCACAAATCTATAGTGGCCCTAGATCGTCAGCATATATCATATACATATTATATAATCTGAATGAATTATATAATATTCATTGTATAATATTTCACTTTAGGAATACAGCTACAATTTTTCTACTGAATGCCTCCTAAGTCCATTTTGGCAAGGAGAGGCTATATTTCCTTTTGGTCAACGGAATAGATTATGTAGTATATCACTTTTAGTGCCCCTATTAGTCTTTTGCACATGATTAGTTTAACACCAGTGGCCTGATTCACTTTTATTATAAAGCACCAAATTGTCAGGTGATACAGATTACATTCTTTCTTGTCACAGTAAGGGACACACAACTAGTTAGACCCACACATATATTTAACATTTTGGTTAGTTACACTTTCCAAGGTGGTCTGCAACTTCCCAAACACAAAAAAAAAGAAGAAAAAAAGAAAGAAATGTTAACTCACCTACATTACATCATTGAGTCCAAGTTCTCCCCTTAGCCATCCTCCTTGGCTGCAGTCACCTCCTCTTTCCCCCACTCGCCAGAGGGGGTTCGAATGGACCCGTCATGAAGGTCGGGTGACAGAGCACCATTGGATGCCTGATGCCAGCATGTTGTGCATGCTGGTGACAGATGCCAATTTTGCACATAATTTATATTAGCCAGCGATGCATTTTGTTCTGGTGGCTAATGACGCTGTTACACCTATGGCAGCTAAGCAGTTAGTCTCTGTGTGTTCCAAAGCCAAATGCTGCACATACAGACTCCAGGCACCATGGAGTAACCCATTATATACACTCAAAATCATACCTGCCCTAATCTGTAAAGTGCTACGGACACATGTGCAACATAAACTGTAAACTGATTAAATAGTGTTTTACTGTACCCTGCATCTATCCTTGCTAATAGTCCTGAACTTGGAGAGACAGTGGCTGTATTGGACCTCTGTCCCGCTGCCTCGGGTGTTTTCTTAAAGGACCACTATAGTGCCAGGAAAACAAACTCTTTTTCCTGGCACAATAGTGCCCTGAGGGTGCCCCCACCCTCAGGGTCCCAGTCCCGCTGGGCTGAAGGGGGAGGAAAGGGGTTAAACACTCACCTTTCTCCAGCGCCGGGGACTCTCATCCTCCTTCATGGTCATCGGCTGAATGCGCATGCGCGGCAAGAGCCGC